TCGAATTCAAAATGACGATTTTAAAGAAAAAAAAACTCACAAGTTGTAATTATTTTATTCAATCCTCTATGTTAAAATTATATTTTATCTACTCTTTTCTTCATGTTAAAATGAAATTTTATCGTCTAGATGATACATCTATTGTTTTATATCTGCGGTTGTTAGTTGCTAACGATCTTTGACATTAGATTTCATTGTTGAATTTTACTTTGACATTTATAAATATCGACCAAATTGACTACAAAATACTTTTTATTTTTTTTTGGCTTTGTTTGTGAATGAAAAATTACCAAAAAATTAGAGAATGTGCCTTACTAATGCCCAGATAAGTGTGAAAAAATTCAACAATTTTATTTAATTAGAAGTGGGGATTTTCTTTTTGGGCGTAACGGATGCCCCACCCGATATAATAAATAACTATTAATCCAAAAAGGTATTCAATACCTCGATTATTTCACCGTTTCTTCTCCCAGCACGTGTTATTATGTGTAGAAGAGGTAAAAAGGACTCTGATAGATTCCGTGAGGAAGGTAGAACACCGTAATCTAATTTGTTCGACTGTAAAGCTTCATTTGTGGAGCGTCGGGTCAAATAATGTCGTAAAATAAAACCACCGACCCTAGATGCTCTTCACTCAGTTTTTGGTAAATGTTATTGTTTGCGGTACAATAGGATTCTCCACATATACAAAAATAAAGATCAAAATAAAAGACGCCTACAGTGTAATAATAATAAATTAACAAAAGTAAGTTTCTCTATAAAATACCAAAAATTATCACTTGTAATTTTCTTTCTCAATTTTACTACATCCAGGCCTTAATCCATTTTGTCAGATTGCAACTTAAATAAACCTAATGAGTATCATCAATTTTAAAACATTTTCAAAGTTACAGAATTGCCTCGAAATATATGACCCAAAGGAGATTTGGAAAGTAGTAGGCAATAAAATTCTTCACAGGAGTAATAAATTTAAGTAAATTTTTCACAGTTCCTCATTATGAAGATCTACAGGCTGTCGTTAGTGCAAAGTTTGAAAATTGTAGGATTACTTTTTGTTTTACTTCACATTGACTAATTTTTTTACAAAAACACTCTTAATTTTTTTTTCTGTTACATTTTCTATCTCTTATTTTTATGTTAGGTTTTCCACTTTTTTATTCTTTTTGTTATTTTTCATTCTATTCGTTCCATTTTTCCAACTTTTCAGGAAATATCCTGATTTCAAACTTTGCAGAATCTGGTTTTTTTCTCTGTTTTATTTTCTATCTCTTATTTTTATGGTCGGTTTTCTACTTTTTAATTTTCCACTTTTTTATTCTTTTTGTTATTTTTCATTCAATTCATTCCGTTTTTCCTGCTTTTTAGGAAATATCCTGATTTCAAACTATGCAGAATCTGTTTTTTTTTCTCTGTTACATTTTCTATCTCTTATTTTTATTTTCGGTTTTCTACTTTTTAGTTTTCCACTTTTTTATTCTTTTTGCTATTTTTTATTCTATTCATTCAATTTTTCCTACTTTTCAGGAAATATCCTGTTTTCAAACTTTGCAGAATCTGTTTTTTTCTCTGTTACATTTTCTATCTCTTATTTTTATTTTCGGTTTTCTACTTTTTAGTTTTCCACTTTTTTATTCTTTTTGCTATTTTTTATTCTATTCATTCCATTTTTCCTACTTTTCAGGAAATATCTTGATTTCAAACTTTGCAGAATCTGTTTTTTTTTCTCTGTTACATTTTCCACCTCTTATTTTTATTTTCGGTTTTTTACTTTTTAGTTTTCCACTTTTTTATTCTTTTTGCTATTTTTTATTCTATTCATTCCATTTTTCCTACTTTTCAGGAAATATCCTGTTTTCAAACTTTGCAGAATCTGTTTTTTTCTCTGTTACATTTTCTATCTCTTATTTTTATTTTCGGTTTTCTACTTTTTAGTTTTCCACTTTTTTATTCTTTTTGCTATTTTTTATTCTATTCATTCCATTTTTCCTACTTTTCAGGAAATATCTTGATTTCAAACTTTGCAGAATCTGTTTTTTTTCTCTGTTACATTTTCTCTCTTATTTTTATGTTCGGTTTTCTACTTTTTCGTTTTCCACTTTTTTATTCTTTATGTTATTTTTCATTCTATTTATTCCATTTTTCCTACTTTTCAGGATATATACTGATTTCAAACTTTGCAGAATCTGTTTATTTTCTGTTACCTTTTCTCTCTTATTTTTATGTTCGGTTTTCTACTTTTTTATTCTTTTTGTTATTTTTCATTTTATTCATTCCATTTTTCCTACTTTTCAGGAAATATCCTGATTTCAAACATTGCAGAAACTGGTTCTATAATTTCATCATAAATTACTCCCAGCTTTGATGATTTGTTAAACCCGCCTCTTGTCAAAAGGTTGCATGCGATTAGCCAAGTTCTGGCACCGAAATATGTTTGCATAAACCCACATTTCCACCAACTGTTACAAGAGGGACTATACAGGCTGTTCCGGCAAAACACCACATTAGAAGTTTTAGAAGTTCTAACAATGATATTTATCTAAAGTTTTGTTAGATCGGTTAGATTCTGCTCAATTAAAATATTTTCAAGTTGGCGGCACTTCCTGTTACACCGAAAATGGATATCAACTTCGTTATTTTAAATAGAAAGTTGTGTTTTTTTTGCGTTTTTGGATTACTCAAGTGATTTTGAGAGAGTTTTCATTAGCCTTCCCTATATCTAAGTTTAACCGTTTTGGAAATATTTAGACCTATTTAACAATTTTTGGATTTGGATCTTCTTATTCAAAAATCGATAATTCTACCATTTTCGATTATGTTGAATCCGTATTTGGGTATACAAGAGAGAGAAAGGTTAGATCTTTCTTTCCTTTGGTGCATTCATAATTGGAAAAAGACTTAACAAACCGCCAAAATGTAAGGTTACGTTTAGGAAACTTCAAATAACCTTAACTCAATTTTTTCTTTACTAAATGGAGGAGAATTTAGTTCTGCTCCAATCAGTATTAACATTCCCTATACCTATGTTTGATAGTTTTCAAGTTATAGTAACTTTTTTTGATATTGTGAGAAATTCATTAGCTACTTTAGCATAGGTTAAATAAGAAAAAAATAGAATATCAAAGTTATTCAAATTTAGATTAAATAAATTAATTTGTATTTACGAAAAGAATAACACAATTGTGAAAAATAACTTGGCGTTTTTTCAGTGAGAAATATTTCCATGGCAAACTATGCGAAAACTACCATGGATATAGTAAAAAAGTCAAAATAACTTGGAAATCATTAAGTTTAGGTATAGGGAGTATTGATACAGATTGATACAGAATTAAATTCTCTTTCATATAGTGAAGAAAAAATTGGGACCTTCCATTTGAAAAAATTCAGTTACGGGTATTTGAAGTTTCCCAAACGTAACCTTAAATTTTGGAGACTGTTTAATTATTTTTCCAATTATAAATACACGAAATAAAAGATCTAATCTTTCTTTTTCATATGCCCAAATACGGTTTCAAAATATTTAAAAATGGTAGAGTTATCGATTTTTAGAGAGGAAAATGCAAATTAAAAAAAATCAAAAAGGTCTAAATATTTCGAAAACGGTTAAATTTAGGTATAGAGAAGTCTAATAAAAACTCTCTTAAAACCACTGTTAGAACTCCTAATACTTCTAATACAGGGTTTAGCCGGAACATCCTGTATAATGTGATCTACGCAATGTTATTTTCTTTCTTTCCTCTTTCTTATTTTTTCATCAATGTTGTTATTCTGTGAAAATCAACATTGTTTCACAAAAAATAGATGTTTTTTTTTGAAGAAGCAAAGTGAGAAAAGTACAACAAAACAATAATTTAAAAATTTTGAGATGAAAATCAAAAAGAAAATTAAAAGCAGATTTTCACTTTATTTTATAAGTTTAGGGATGACTAAAATTTAATTTTTTAACAGAGACATTAGTCAAAAAATAGTAAGTGCCCACATTTCTAACCCCTATTTTCGACACTTTAACAATTAACAAATTGTTCCCCTGAATGTGCAAAACAATTAAAAAACTACAAGTAATAAACCGACTGAGATTAAAGTGTTTTATAATTGAATTTTGGACCAATTTTTTTGTACCTCCAAAAAGGGTTAATATAAACGTTTAAGTGTTATTAAAGTCTGATAAAAACTCACTCAAAATCACTTGAGTAATCCAAAAACCATAAAAAAACATAATTTTCCATTTAAAGTAACGAAGTTGATACTCATTTTCGGTGTCATCTTGAAAATATTTTCATAGTCAAAATTTTAAATAAATATCACAGTTAGAACTCCTAATGCTTTTAATACAGGGTTTAGCCGGAACATCCTGTATAATATAATCTATGCAATGTTTTTTCTTTCTTTCCTCTTTCTTATTTTTTTCATCCAAAAAATAGATGTTTTTTTTTGAAGAAGCAAAGTGAAAAAAGTAAAACAAAACAATAATTAAAAAATTTTGAGATGAAAATCAAAAAGAAAATTAAAAGCAGATTTTCACTTTATTTTATTAGTTTAGGGACTGACTAAAATTTAATTTTTTAACAGAGAAATTAGTTGAAAAATAGTAAGTGCCCACATTTCTAACCCCTATTTTCGACACTTTAACAATTAACAAATTGTTCCCCTGAAATGTGCAAAACAATAAAAAAAACTACAAGTAATAAACTGACTGAGATTAAAGTGTTTTAATAATTGCATTTTTGACTAATTTTTTTGTACCTCGAAAAAGGGTAAATATAAACAGTAAAGTCTGATAAAAACTCTCTCAAAATCACTTGAGTAATCCAAAAACCAATAAAAAACATAATTTTCCATTTAAAATAACGAAGATTTTCGGTGTAATTTTGAAAATGTTTTCATAGTCAAAATTTTAGATAAATCACTGTTAGAACAGTGCGGTTTATCCGGAACACTGGCATAAAATAAAAACTTGAAAATTTTAACATATTTTAAGAGAGCGAAAAATTGTATTTTTTCAGGTAGACTTCAGTGTTCCTTTTATGGAAACAGGAATTGCAATTGTGGTGGCGAAACGAACTGGAATTATTTCTCCGACGGCATTTTTGGAACCTTTTGACACGGCCTCTTGGATGCTTGTGGGTGTTGTCGCAATTCAAGCTGCCACTTTCACAATTTTCCTTTTTGAATGGCTGTCTCCGAGTGGATTCAATATGAGACTGTCGTTTAATCAGGTTTGTATTAATTAATAATCGAATTGAGCGGATATTTATCCTCTTTATAACTTTACCCCGTTTTCTTAATTAAAATTCACACCCAATGTTTTTCACCCAGTTATCGTCTAGTTTTCACTCGATATTTCACTTCTTTGTAAGCCAACAAAATTAAAAATTTCACAAAACGCTCTTCTATTTGAAAAAATAATGATTTTGCAGAGCTGTCTTGGAATAGTTGTTTTCTTTTAATCATAAAATTATCTATGTTAGGGAATTATAACTAGTCAGAAATTTACTATTTTTGGAAATTAAAAAACGATATGAGATTTTCATCAATTTTATCTTGAAGTCTTTAAGTATAGTAAGATTTTTTTCATCTCTGACTACCAGTTTTTTAAAGCATTTCACAACCTAATTTGAAATAAAATATAATATTTTCTCAATTAGGAGCGTGCAAATCAACCATCATTCTCTTCGCATTAATGTTGTAACAGATGTGGCCATTACATTTGGTCAGATAAATGTTACGACCTTAGAACAAATTTTATTGCAGTTTTGCTAATTTATTGGAAGGTAGAAGAAACTTAACTTTAAAAATGCAAAAAAATATACGAAAAATCAATTCCAAACACATATAAGGGCTTCATTTTAATTTTTGTTCTAGAACTTTTCCTATTTTCTCATCTTCAAAAACTATAAACATGAGCACTGTCACCTGTTTAAATGATTAAATTTTAAGAAAATTTTGAGAAAATATCGTTTATTTTTAATTAGTGTTTTCATTAGGAAGCACTTATTGTCTCAGGATGAATGGAAGAATCGTTAATTTTATCCATAAATTAATTAATTAAAAAATTCCTTTATTGTTCGTTGTGTTATTATAATTACAAACAACATTAATTATAAATTTAAATTTGTACCAACAATTATGAAATTCGAAAAGGAAAATAAAAGCATTCATATTAATAATACGTTAAACACGTTCGCGTAATGAACAGTTTGTTTAATTATTATTATGTGGATTCAGTTTTTGATACATAAAATCCATTTTGTTGGCTTTCAGTTGCTGTATTTCTAATAATTATAAATAATTATACTTACCTCTTTTAGAATTTTTTTTCTGAAAGTGGCAACAAACTTAAGTCAAAATAGTTAGAGTAATTTTTATCCTAATCCCCAGTTTCAAATAATATACCAAAAAATATACCATTTTCGATTTAATTCGGTAATTTTTTGGCTCATTTGGGTGAAATTTCACTTGAAAAAGGCAAAAATAATTTCGTTTTCGACTCCTAATTTGGCTATCTTGATCAAAGACAATTAAGATTTTTACTCAAAAATAGGGAAAAAGCACCATTTTCTATCTAATTACGAGATTTCTCGGCTTGCTTGAGCAAAATGTTGCAAAGGAAAAGTGATTTTTAACTGAGGAAGCAAAAATAACGTTATTTTTGACCAAATTTGGTATTTTTTTGACAAAATTTTGCAAAATCTTAAAAAAACAGCTTTTAACTCAAAAACATGTCAAACGCGTTAAAAGGTGCACTTTGTCGTTTTTTGGTTGTGAATAATGTATTTTTTTAAATAGTAGGTTTTTAGCTGAAAAAATTTCTTTTACGCTCGAAAATGTCAAAAACAGCATAATTTGGTAATTTTTGAGCCTTTTTGAGCAAAATTTTATAATTGTATAATAAGAAGATTCAAAAATAATTGAAACGGCAAAAATATTCTCATTTTCGATCTAATTTGTTCAGTTTTGGTCTGTTTTAGGGAAAAAATTCAGTTTATAAGCTCAAAAATGTATTTAACTGCTTAAAAAAGCAAAAATAGCACAATTTTTATCGATTTTTTGACTGATTTGGCCAAAATTTTTCAAAAAAATTGCATTTCTTGCTGAAGAACTTTCTTATATGCTTGAGAAAGTGCAAAATAACATCATTTTCGATTTAGTTTTGTGATTTTTTTATCTAGTCTCGATAAACTCTTCAATTCAAAATTTGAGTTTTTATCTTAAAAACATGCTAAAACGTTCAAAAAAGCAAAAATAGTATGATTTTCGACCAAATTTGACCATTTTTTTTCGGTAAAAAACACAACAAAACAAGTGAAACACAAATATTAAAAAAAATTTACTCAACAAAGGTAAGTTGTATCGAAAAAACGCAAAAGACCTCTTTTTGTAAAAATTATGGAATAGTTAGAGTAATTTTTATCCTAACCCCCAGTTAAAACAAATATACAATTTTGACTTGATTTGGTAATTTTTTTGCCCATTTGGGTGAAATTTTACTTAAAAAAGGCAAAAATAATTTCGTTTTCGATCCCTAATTTGGCTAATCTAGCAAAATTTTGTGAAAAAAATTAGTTTTGGCTCGGAAACGTTTTCATTCGCTTAAAAATAGGCAGAAATAATATAGTTTTTTGCCTAATTAATGTTTGGGTATGTTTTGATCAAAAACAATTAAAATTTTTAGTCGAAAATAGGCAAAAAGCACTATTTTCTATCTAATTAGAAGATTTCTCGGCTTGCTTGAGCAAAATATTGCAAAGGAAAAGTGTATTTTTGACATGTTAAACGTGTTAAAAAGTGCACTAACTTTGATGTTTTTTACTTGTGAATATTTTTTTTAAAGGGGGTTTTTAGGTTACCAAACTTAATCCAGTGAAGCAGACCAAAATAGAACTGTAGTTCATTGATTTTGTGGCATATTTTAGCAAAATTTTGCGAAAAAAGAAGTTTTTAGCTGAAAAACATGTCTTTACTCTCAAAAAGATCATAAATAGCATAATTTTCAATCTAATTTGGTCATTTTTAAGCCTTTTTGAGCAAAATTTTATAATAACAAGGTTCAAAAATAATTTAAACAGCAAAAATATGATCAATTTCGATCTAATTTGGTCTGTTTTAGCGAAAAAAACTAACTTTATTAGCCCAAAAANAGTTTATTAGCTGAAAAATGTATTTAACTGCCTCAAAAAGTAATAATAGCACAAAAAATTGCATTTCTGCGTGAATAACTTTCTTAAACGCTTCAGAAAATAAAAAATATGATATTTTCGATTTAATTTCGTGATTTTTTTATCTTGTCTCGATAGTCTTATTCAAAAATTGAGTTTTTATTTTAAAAACATGCTAAAACGTTTAAAAAAGCAAAAATAGGATGATTTTCGACCAAATTTGATCATTTTTTTCTCGGTAAAAACACTACAAAACAAGTGTAATATAAATATTAAAAAAAATTTACTCAACAAAGGTAAGTTGTATCGAAAAAACGCAAGAGACCTCTTTTGCAGTAACTTTGTCGTTTTTTGCTTGTGAATAATTAAAAAAAAAAAACTAAATCGAGTAAGGTTCAAAAATAATTGAAATGGCAAAAATATTATCACTTTCAATCTAATTTGGTAAGTTTAGATCTGTTTTAGCGAAAAGACTCAGTTTATTAGCCCAAAAATGTATTTAACTGCTTAAAAAAGTAAAAATAGTATAATTTTTATCGATTTTTCGACTGGTTTGGACCAAATTTTCCAAAAAAAATGCATTTCTCGCTGAAGAACTTTCTTAAATGCATAAGAAAGTACAAAATAACATCATTTTCGATTTAATTTCGTAATTTTTTATCTTGTCTGGATGAAGTCTTATTCAAAATTTGAAAAAACATGCTGAAACGTTCAAAAAAGCAAAAATAGTATAATTTTCGACCAAATTTAACCACTTTTTTTCGGTAAAAACACAACAAAACAAGTATAACACAAATATTAAAAAAAATTACTCAACAAACTACGAAACTTAGTTTAGGACGCCCCTGATTAAAAATTTTGACATAAACATAATCAACTATACCAAATTTTGTAATTTTATTGAAAATGGTTTCTAAAATATTAAACAAAATCCATTAAAAGAGAGTGTAGCTTCCTTACATGGTATTTTTCAATACTTCTATCTTAAAATTGAATATTCTATCACCTGTTTAAATTTGTAACAATAAAAATGGAACACTCTGTATAGTTTTTGTAGGGGATTTCTTGTCGTGTTTCTTACAAGTTTTCATTATAAATAATTTTGGTACAGGTTAAATTGGGTTATATAATATTTTGTTATTAATGTTCGCTATCTTACTTTGGAAGACAACTGACTTTAATAACTAAATAATTAATTGAAAATTAATTGCTTTCAAAAACAATTTTGCGTGTCAATTATAAATATGATGCAGTGTCATAAAATCTAAATTTAGATGAAACTACAAAAGGTACTTTCACCGTGATCTTTTTCCATTTTTGTCAACACAACAAAACAAGTGTAATACAAATATTAAAAAATTTTTACTCAACAAAGGTAAGTTGTATCGAAAAAACGCAACAGACCTCTTTTTGTAAAAGTTATGGAATATAAAATTTTGTTTCTGTAAGTGACAAGAAACTTACGTCAAAATAATTAGAGTAATTTTTGTCCTAACCTCCAGTTTAAAAAAATATACCAAAAAATATACCATTCTCGACTTGATTTGATAATTTTTTGGCCCATTTGAGTGAAATTTTACTTAAAAAAGGCAAAAATAATTTTATTTTCAACCCCTAATTTGGCTATTCTAGCAAAATTTTGTGAAACAAATCACTTTTGTCCCGAAAACGTTTTTATTCCCTTGAAAATAGACAGAAATAATATAGTTTTTTGCCTAACTAATTTTTGGGCATATTTTGATCAAAAACAATTAAGATTTTTAGTCAAAAATAAGCAAAAAGCACTATTTTCTATCTAATTAGAAGATTTCTCGGCTTGCTTGAGCAAAATATTGCAAAGGAAAAGTGTATTTTTGACTGAATAACATTATTTTTGACTGAATTTGATAATTTTTTGACAAAAATTTGCAATACCTCAAAAAAAAAACAGTTTTTAACTCAAAAACATGTTAAACGCGTTAAAAAGTGCACACTAACTTTGACGTGTTTTGCTTGTGAATATTTTTTTTTTTTTTAAAGGGGTTTTTAGGTTACCAAACTTAATCCAGTGAAACAGACCAAAATAGAATTGTAGTTCATTGATTTTGTGGCATATTTTAGCAAAATTTTGCAAAAAAAGAAGTGTTTAGCTAAAAAACTTGTCTTCACTCTCAAAAATATCAAAAATTGCATAATTTTCAATCTAATTTGGTCATTTTTGAGCCTGTTTGATCAAAATTTTATAATATGAAGATTCAAAAATAATTGAAACGGCAAAAATATTATCATTTTCGATCTAATTTCTTAAGTTTTGGTCTGTTTTAGCAAAAAACTCAGTTTATTAGCTGAAAAATGTATTTAACTGCCTCAAAAAGTAATAATAGCACAAAAAATTGCATTTCTGCGTGAACAACTTTCTTAAACGCTTCAGAAAATAAAAAATATGATATTTTCGATTTAATTTTGTGATTCTTTTATCTTGTCTCGATAAAGTCTTATTTAAAAATTGAGTTTTTATTTTTAAAAACGTGCTAAAACGTTTAAAAAAGCAAAAATAGTATGATTTTCGACCAAATTTGATCATTTTTTTTTCGGTAAAAACACAACAAAACAAGTATAACATAAATAAAAAAGATTTTACTCAAAAAGGGTAAGTTGTATCGAAAAATCGCAAGAGACCTCTTTTTTGTAAAAAACTACGAAACTTAGAATTTTATTGTTGAAAGTAACAATCGCCAAAATAGTTATAGAACTTTTTATCCTAAAAATTGTGACATAAAGGTAATCAACTATACCAAATCCATTAAAAGGGAGTGTACATAGTATTTTTCAATACTTTTATCTTAAAATTGAATATTCTATCACCTGTTTAAATTTGTAACAATAAAAATGGAACACTCTGTATAGTTTTTGTAAGGGATCTCTTCTCGTGTTTCTTACAAGTTTTCATTATAAATAATTTTGGTACATGTTAAATTGGCTAATATAATATTTTGTTATTAATGTTCGCTATACTCAGTTTGGAAGACAACTGACTTTAATAACTAAATAATTAATTGAAAATTAATTGCTTTCAAAAACAATTTTGCGTGTCAACTATAAATATGATGCAGTGTCATAAAATCTAAATTTAGATGAAACTACAAAAGGTGTTTTCACCGTGATCTTTTTCCATTTTAGTCAACACCATCAGCATCACATCGTTTTTCGTTATTCCGCACTTACTGGCTGGTTTGGGCTGTCCTTTTTCAAGCGGCGGTTCATGTTGATTCTCCCAGGGGATTCACAGCACGTTTTATGACAAATGTTTGGGCGATGTTCGCCGTAGTCTTCCTCGCCATATACACTGCCAACCTCGCAGCCTTCATGATCACAAGAGAGGAGTTTTTTGAATTCTCAGGTAAGCACAAGAATTATTAATTCGGAAACAAGTAAATAATGTAATCTGTTTTCGTAAAAATCTGTTTCTTCTGGATCATCCTGGAAATACTCGTAATTCACTGCATCCACAATACAATAAAATTTTTGTTTAAGCAAGTTAAAAAATTGTAAAATTAAATCGAAATTGATATTATTTTTTAGTTTGTTTCGCTCGACTTTCTTAGTTTTTGAACCAGAGGTTCATTTATTTTGCAAAATCTTGTCCAAACATGCTTAAAAATCACAAAACTGTTGATATTGATGTTATTTTGAACAAAATTAAAACAAAAATGCAAAATTGAGTCGAAAATACTTTTAAACACGTTCTTGTACTATAATCACAGGTTTTCGCGAGTTTTCCCTAAAACAAACTAAAACTCAACAAATTAAGTTGAAAACTATAGGAGTATTATTTTTGCATGGATGGGTTTAACTCTTTACAGCTAAAAACGCATTTTTTTTTAAAAACAAGCCGAAAAATTACAGAATTAGGCCGAAAATGATGTCACTTTAGCCTTTTTCGAGAGTTTAAGCAAATTTTTGAGCTGAAAAATCCGTTTTTTCGACACTAAATTGTTATAAAATAATTATATTTTACTTTAACTGGGTTTTTTCGACAAATAGTCTAAAAAAAATTAAAAACCACCAAACTGATTAAAAATATTTCTACTATTTGTTTTTACGATATTTCACTAAACAAGGTCAAAAATGACTCTTTTGTCTTTTTCGAATGCTTTTTCAGCTAGAAGTACAATTATTTTACAATATTTTGTTAAAAACAAGCCAAAAATTTAACAAAATGGGTCAAAATAGTTGTTATTTTTCTTTTTTTGTTTGAGTGTTAATCACGTTTTTGAGATAAAAACAAAAAAATCGAAAAACTTCTCTTAAACAGGCTAAAAAATTACAAAATTAAAACTAAATTGATATTATTTTTAGCTTGTTTTGCTGAAATTTTTTCGGTTTTGAACCAAAGACTCATTTATTTTGCAAAATCTTATCCAAACACGCCAAGAAATTACAAAACGAATTTATTTTGACTTAATTTTGTTTGTTTCAATCGATTTAACTCGTTTTTAAGCAAAATAAGACACATTTTGTACTGACATCTCAGGTTTTTCGGGAGTTTTCTCTAAAATAAACTAAAAATTCAACAAATTAATTCAAAAACTATATTATTTTTGAATTCTTCGAGGATTGTAACACTTTTTTCAGCTAAAAACGCGATTATTTTTCAAAATTTCGTTAATAACAAGCCGAAAAATTACAGAATCACTTTTGCTTTTTCGAGAGTTTAAGCAAATTTTTGAGCTGAAAAATCCGTTTTTCGACACTAAATTATTGTAAAAAAAATATATTACACCTTTACCTTACTTTTAGACGTTAACTGGGTTTTTTAACAAATAGTCTTAATTTTTTTTTTAAATTAACGAGTGTGATAAAAATTTGTGTTCACTTTTAGCAAAATTTTCTCAGTTTAATCAATTTGAACTATCGTAATCCCCTCATAAATTAGCGTAATTGCTTGTCGTAAATTAACAAAACACGTGGTGTGTCAATTATGATGGGCCCTGGAATACCTAATCTGTTGAATAATTCGTCAAAGCTTTGCTAGTTTGACGGCTGAAAAGGATACATCAGTGAAACAATTTTATTGTCGATTGGAAACGTACAGATACCTAATTTAGAATTCCATTTCAATTTTTGAGTGTCAAACATGCATATCTGATTTGAGAACGGGATTCAAATCATTCCTCACGACAAAAGACCTTCTGACAGTCCTAGATTGATTTTAAATCTATTATAAAAATGATAAACATAGTAGAAAAATCTTTAATAGTAATCCCAGAGTAATTTAGAAAAAAAATCTAAAAAAAAATCTAATCTTTGTGAAAAACCACAATTTAATACTAATGCACCCTTCCAAAAAAATATTTTAGCTGTTTTTAGTAATAATAAAATTGATTATCAATTAATCATGGATTTTTATACGACAATGCGACCCTAACAAAAATTACGTTTTTCCACCCTAATTTCAGAAAGAAAAATGGTCAATTAAAAATTTTACCTCACTCATCTCTCAAAGGACAATAA